ACTGAACTCAACAATGCTTAGTCATTTGGCGCCGTTTCCTCGTTAAATTATTCTCAAAATCAATTTCTTAGTTTCAGCTTCGCACAATTCAAATTCTAAACACAACTGATTCATTATGAAACTATTAGACTTTCTATGATCTCCTATGCTGAAGTATAAGCCTAAGAACAATATTTTTTAATATTGCTATCGGCGGGTAAGGGATAAAAGTCAATCTAACACTTTCACAATGAACTAGATTTATTGAGAACTAAAAAAGTTCTAGCATGATTTGCTGTCTTGAGACTTCGTTCTCAAGATATCGAAATTTTACTGACTTTTTCAAAAAAAAAAAAGCTGTGGTTCTCTCAAAACATGTAAAAAATCGACTTTCCACTTCAAACTTTTCACAAATCAAGTTCTCAATGAGATTAGCGTATTGGACAAGTTATCACTTTTCCAGCATCTCCTGTCTTGACATATTCAATATTCAAAATTTTCTCTTGTGAAAAAGTAAATTTTGTTCACATGTTTACATCTCCAGAAAGGAAATACTAGTTGCTCTATCAACCAATCTCATCAAAAGCTTTGCTCGTGCAAAGTTGAAAGTCAATGTTCCACGTCATCTAATCACGACCACAAGTTATTGTTGAAAAACTCAGTCAAATTCTGAATATAGTAAAAACGAAGACCTGGAAAATCAATTCATTCAATACTTTTCTATTAGTCTTTTGTACTCATCATATGAGTATTATCTAGATCGGAAAGAGATTTGACATTTGAAGAAGTTTTCTTGTGAGATTGAGTATGACATTCCATTGACAAAAAAATCCCTAAAATACCCATAATTCAAGAAGAAAGATCAATTCTTTCGCGCTGCCATTAATTTCAATACGACCTATCTAATCAGATAAGATTTATTGCTAAAAAGGCTTTATCACTTTCCAAGGTTTCCTCGCTCGAAGCAAAGGAAGCAAGCATTCACAGTAAACTGTAATCTTGTTATTGTATTCATTCATGTGATGAGATTATGTTTTACAAATACAAAAAAAAAATAAATAAATAAAACTTTGGTTTTTCTTTACTTTTCTAGTAAAAAGAATCTATTCATAAAATCTTACTTTTTGTTGCTTTAAATGAAAGTATTTCATTCATACGTTTAATAGCTAATGAAAATGGGACAACGGTATGTTCAGCTGATATCTGATGTTGATCACATAATTGACAAAAAATCTTATCGCATGTTTCACAAAATAATAATTCTTCGTTTGTATGTGAATCACATTTGGGAATAACATCACGACGTTGACTTACCATTAAATCAAGTAATTGATTAACTAAAAATGACGGTGGGAATGAAGTAACACCACCTAAAATTTCAATTATTTATTTTTTTCTTTTGCAAAAAAAAAAATTCTTCTAATCATTTACCTCTAGGTAATAGAATATGTTCTCGACAAATAGGACCTATATTTATATATGTATAAAAAAAAAATGAACATAAGTAAGATTAGATATTAACATACATTTAATCGCATCGGATCTTGGTTGTGAACTAACAATATGTTCTAAACATTGACGACAAACTGTATGTGAACATGGTAATAATTTTGGTTGATGTTCATGTGAATCCGATGAATATTGATTTATACATGTAGAACATGTTAAAAAATGTTCTGTGAAATCTTTTGCATTGATATTGATCGTTTCGACTAATGTTGAACCCATTTTTATATGATTTTTATATCATTTGTCGTCATATCACATCTGAAGCTTACACATACAGTTTATATATTTACATAAATATAAATGCATATATGTATATGCATGATCAATATAAATTGACATTGATGCATGATCCATGAGATGAAAAAGAAAAAGAAAGAACAAGCTGACGGCAAGGATACATATAACCTTGGCTTTGGATCGTCGACCTATATGCTCGAAGTTGTTCATACATGTAAATAGAGACGATGAGCAAAGATCAACGAACTATCGTATCAATTATATGATAAGTTAACTAAAGCTCAAGGAAAAAGTATAATAAGATGGAAACAGTATAGATATTCTGTGTCTCGAGAGACTTCGAGATAGGAAAGAAACTTCAAGAAAAAGAAGGACTTTTCTTTAGGCATGCTTATTAATAGCTGCTAAATGTATTGCACTACAATTATTTTTATTTGTTTTGAAATCTTGTGTAAAAGAACTGTGTACTATAATAATAGACAACAAAATAATAACTTTTATTCATTATGGTGGTTTTTCTATTCATTTACTTATAAAAATTAATGATTAATGAATGGAAGTACTGTATTTCTATTAACACTTTTGTTCGTTCGGCACAAGAGATAACAAAAAATGAATAGTTTTATTCGATCGGAATATAAATTTTTTTTTTTTTGTATTGATTCATTCATATTTAAATTAGACTTCTTTCATTCAATATTGACAAAAGCTATTTTTGTACTAGCGTGACTGTGCTTCTTATCAAAATTAAATGAGTGCATGCTAGAATTATGTTTTAGAAAAAAATTCCAAAAATAAATTTAGTTCTTGCATGAAATCAAGAAAAAAAGAAATAAATATGCTATAAAGATATAAGAGATTTTTCTATAAATGTATTTCCTCAAGATAAAATGACTTACTTATATTTAGTGATGAACGGATGCCCGCCGGAGTGTCATCACGTTCATTCACTTACTGACTAAGAAAAAAAAATGAGGTTTGTGCTCCTGTTGAATTCCGATAGCATGGAAGAAAAAGAAAAAAAAAACGAGAGAAAAAAAAGCAGGAAAAAGGAAAAGGAAAGATGAAGAGAATAATGATGATGATGATGATGACACACCAATATTCTGTTTCTTTTCTTTCTATTCTACGTAAATCGTTTGCAGATGAGATGCTCATCTACTTCAATGTGTAGCTATTATTTACTTACTGTTCTGCCGATGATAAAAGTAACAATGGAATAACAAAAAAGAAAACAGTGTGACGCCCGAACAGGGGCTCGAACCCTGGACATTGTGGTTAAAAGCCACACGCTCTACCGACTGAGCTATCCGGGCCACACCTTTACAAGGACGAAAAGATCTTATCTGTTGCTTTTTATTTCAAGGATAGATTTTTAACATTAAAAGATTTTTCTTTTTAATTGTATATTATTGATCGAAAGTGTCGAAAAAGAAAAACATTTCTCATGACATACACTCCTTCACAAAACTTTTATGCATGTCCTATTGGCAAAAGACGGTGTAAATAAAAGAGCGTCCTTGCATCATGTCATTCATTTTGCTATATGATGATTTTTCTTTCACTGTTCAAGACGATGACAATGAATAAATCAAGCATCATCATCATCGTCGTCGTCGTCGTCTCTCAAGGTTTCATTATATCAAAAGAAAAATCTTATAATAACATTAATAATCTAATTCAAACATGTCTACTAACAGAAAATATGATGATATACAATATAAACTCATTCAATCAAATGCTTATTTATTCTTTCTTGAACAAAGAATACTAACATTATGAATTCCATCAGAGACGATAAGAATTTTATGTTGTAATAAACAATATCATCATCTCATATTACTTCCATTTGATATTATGAAAAAAAGAATAAAATGAGATCCATTTACTCAGTTTTCATTACCTTTTTCTTCCCATGTGATTAATATCTGTAAATTAAGCAGACAAAGAGAATATAACTAAATCTACATGTATAAATCTTTAAATAAATGTTACATGATGATAGATAAAAAAAGATATATATCGAGACAAGTGTAAAAGAAACCTTGAGAAACCAAACAGATGAAGTGATTGATTAATCTTAACTAATTTTATCATAGACGCTTAAAACAATGACTTACAAAGAAATCTCTTGGGTGCAATGTATGTTTCAACCCATCACCATTCTCATGTCGACCGAACTGCCCACTCTTATAGTCATTTTTTGATCTATTCTTTTTCTTTTTTTTTCTTTCTGTCTCTTTTTCTGTTTTTCTCTACATGTTCTCTTGCGTTCGCAAGCGACACAATGTTCATTTTTTTTGTTCCTTCTCTCATTTCTTTTGGCCCGACTGGCCACACACATACATTGAATAGCACATGCAAACATATGCAGCAATATATTAAAATGAGGTTCGCCCCCTCTTCTCCTTCTTCTCTACCGCCACCAAATAATAATCATATCAATAAAAGAACACATACACATAGAAAGAGAGAATGTCGCCTTACCACTATCGATTGTGCAAACGAGAAAAAAGACCCTCGATTATCCCCCCATCACGTCGAACTCTATTCTTTGTGTAATCACAATCTAATGTTTAAAGAAATGAGAGTTCAAGAGAAAAGAATATTGAGATGTTCAATAACAAATCAATATATATGCGTGTCTTAGTTAATTTTTTTCTATTTATTCTACATAATCATTAATTGAATAGACACTAAATTTTAATATAAATTGATTATTTAAAAAAAAAAAGACGCTATCTATATTCAATGTTTATCTTTTATACAATGAATACAATATAAATGAGATGAAAAGACTACCGATAAATGAATATACCTGTCAAAATCTAGACATGATAAGCCTAGATGAGTCTCATTGAGATTATAATAAATAAATCCAGACAAATCTTAACCATCGATTCATTTATAAACTTTTTTCTTCAATAAAAAGAAAATCATATATTATCGTGTCAATTTAATCAATAACTAGAAGGTCAATTCAATTATATCTTATTTTCTTTCTTTTTAATATAATCTTATAAGTCTTCTTAATATATTCTAAAGAATCTTAATATTTCAAATCGATTAAAACATAAGACAAAGATAATTATGTTTGTTTATTTCGTTGAATGAAATAGAATAGCTTTGCAACGCAATTCAAAGTTAAATGAACACACATAAATGCGCTAAAGATTAGAAGAAAAAAAAAACAGATGTTCATCTTCAAACCATTTAGAAAATCATTGGCTCTCTGATGATGTCTACAATTTTATCATGAATTAAATTTCATAATCTTACGGTTTTCTTACTGTTGATACATGTCGATCAGGTCGTATTATTGGTAATGATTGAGAATGAACTTTAGGTGAACGTAACTCATTTTGACAATTACTATATGCCATTCCTATACCTATACCTGTGCCGAAGAAAACAGGCCATGGACGACCTAATCTTTCAAAATCAGATCATTCACAGTTTTTAATATTACAAAAAACAAACAAACTATATTTACGTTTGAAGAGCAGAGCCGAAAAGACAAGACCTAATGTCAAACCCGAAGCTAAAATAATAATTATTATAATCAACAAAATAATTATAAGAATTATATTTAAACCTGTTTTAATAATTGAATCTGTTAAACATTGATTCCATTTTTCACTATTTTTATTTTCAGATGTTAATAAATGATTTTGTGATGACATCTGAAAAGAGAAAAGAAATATACATATGAATAATTCAACAGAGAAAAATAGAAATTAACTTGAACAAAAGAATCACTTTTTCTAAAAACTGATTGATTGGTTTATTCATTTGACGAATACGACAAACCTTGCTATCATTAAGTATCCGTCGCTACTATCTTCAACGAATTGCATTTACACTTCATCAAAACAAATAATCAAATTCAATAATATGATACTCTTCTGATGATCGGATAGTCTAAATAGAGACCGAAACTGGTCTGGCTTTGCCAAAACTAGGTCGAACACAGTCAAATCTTCATTAAAAAACGATTGATTGAACTATAATCAATTTTGTGAAAATGTGATGCGATCACTGAACATAAAATGAAAATTGATTGATTTTTTTTGACATTTGTACTTTATTTTTCATATAGCAAAGACTTTGTTCTTTTTATAACAGTCACACTTATTATGTTTATGATGATAGATCACTTTTATGTGACAGAATTCTTTTATTTACTTTTTGGTTTTAAAGTTCTCCGTTTTCATGTATCGCGATATATAATCATTTGTAACAGATTATGTCTTAAGACTGAAATAAACTGATAATACTTATGCATCAATATTCAAAAGTTTATTTTAATTCGCAAATACAATAAAAACTATCAAGTCTAATGTGACACATTAATCGTTTGATGATGAAGTTTTGAATTTCAGTTGACTTCTGATTAGGAGGAAATAGGATTATTCGATCGAATGTAAACGAAATTTGCACAAATTTCAGAATAACATGAATAGCTCAAGACAGTAAACATAACAATCATATATAAAATTAATATCAATACTTCAATAAGAGATTTCTGATATTGACCAATGAATAAGCTAAAAGAACTTTTCTATATTCATGATGAACATCTCTTTTAACTTTTACTATTTTTACTTTGAATAATCATCTACTTGTATGGCAAAATAGAAAACCAATGCTCCTAGGGATGCACCAATTTGTAGAACATGACGTGAAATATGACATTTATTTCCGTATTAACCATGCAATTCCTGTTGATTGTTTATGTCAGCCATGATTAGTTTTTTTTTACAATGTTCGAAGCTGTAGTCGACATTGATGAAATACAAAAATTAATTCCTTGGGTTCTAAGCTAAATTTAGAATATTTTCGGTATTGAGATTTACTAGCCTACTAGTAATTCTTCATGCTGATTGAAATGAGTTTTGCAGACTTTTTCCAAAACTATTTTTTAGACTTAGTCTAATGCAAAACATAAGTCTTAAAATCAGTTGACATCGGTCAAAAAAAAAACTCAACAAATGTGAATTTTCGACCTATTCCAAAAACTTTGTTTTATATCGCATGAATATTGACTACGGCTTCGGATAGAACCAAAATTACTGATCATGATTGATATAAACAATCCATAGGAACTATATTCTTAATAAGGAAATAAATATCATGTTTGACATCATGTTCTACGAATATGTGTATTCCTATATACTGCTAACTAGTAGTTATAAAAAATAAAAACAAGTAAAACATTGAATAAACAAGATTAGAATGTTTTCATCGGTTATTTCAACTAGTTAAAATAATCAATGAAAATTTTACTCTTTTATATTTAATTATGTAAAAAAAAAGAAAATTTCATTTCAAAGTCGATTAAGAACTAATAAAATTTTGTTCGAAAAAGATAATCACTCTTCAAAGTTTTCTTCAACGCATTATTGATCAAATATTCTACTGACGGCTAAACTCAAATTCATGATAATTGTAATACTATCAGGTTTAGAGCTATCCGAGGAACTATTTTAATCTCGTTTATCAAGATCAAAACTACAATTAAAAAAATTCTCCTAACTGGAACTGAAGATTATTGTTAAATATTCTATGGTTTTAAGGGAATTATATCATAAATGACATGAATAAGAATTTTATTCATGAGAGACAACTCAAACAAGTGCTAGTAGTCGACTAAGTAATTAAAAAAAGGGAAACAAGTATTGAAGACTTTAATTTAGATGCGATACAAATACATTCTGAAATAGTTTTTTCTAGATTGGGACCAAAAAAATTTGGTCTCGCACATTTCTAGCTAGGCAAAATGATTAGTCTATGGGAGCCGTATTTCAACATTATCGTTAAATTGTTACAGTAGAGCTTTGCTTTTAGGTACTAAAAGATCAAAAATATTCAGTTAAGCAACTGTCAATGAAGTTCATGATGTTTTTAAACATATGATTGCATAAGCTATTCGGTCTGTTTCATTTCGAAAACAATAATGCATGGAATTATGATAGAGTATGTCTTACTGAAGCCACGATGATTGAGTATATTTAATAACTGTTTCAAAAAGAATTCGGGGAAGTGTGAAAAATTATAGACTATAGACGAAAGGTTAAAAAAACAATGTGTAGAAAAATATTGAATGTAAATCGATTTGAACTGGCAAGGATAATCGAAAAAAAAAATTCAAACTGTCTTTCTAAAAGAAACCTCTAACTATTATATAGAAAAAGATTTTCGATATTTTCAAACATGTACATGAAGTTAATCAGAACATTGAACTATCAACAATTAAATACTGATTTTGTATATTTTTACAATTTCTAAATCATATTCTGACCGAAATATTCTTGTGCTAAATCTTTGCATAGTTTATTCAATAAATGAAATAATAGAGAGACAAATTATATTCTCTCGATTGATAAAGATTTTTCATTTCTCTGTAATAATTCAGTACGTTCTGGAATCGGTATAACTGAAATATGTATATCTGTCCTTTTTTCAAAAGTAGTCTATAATTATTATCATTACATTGATCTCTTAGAAAACAATTGAGATACGTAAATATTCTGTTTTAATAATTTTTTCATTGAATTTAGTTATCTCTTTGAAAGAAACAATTAATATAACGAGTTCGATAAAATGAAAATTGATAAAACACAAAAAAAAAGTTGGTTTTCTACTTCTATATTTCCAAGGTTTCAATGTCAATCACGATCACAATTATAGATTTAATTACTATCGGCTAGATAGAAATATGTGTTCTATTTTTAGAAATGTCATACATTCAATAATCATCTTGTTATCATGAGTTGAGACTTTGATAATGAAGCATAAAATGATCATGGAAATGAGTAAAATTGATTGATGAACTGTTGAAAGGGTTTTATACAAAAGAAAAAAAAACTGAAGGCGTAAATTATGCATACTTAATCTTTTTTTGTCTATATGTTGACAGCTAATATGAGTTCATAGTTGTCATTGTATCTTTTATCGATCTTGTATTTATTGTTCAATCACAGAACATGTAATACTACACGCAATAAGATATCAAATTTTGTTGTTTTTTTCTTTTCTTTCAAGTTCAACGTCAAAAAGTTTTTCTCAAAACAATAAATAGTATGCCGTTCAGTTGAAACATTGACCTTTCATTCTATTTTGCTTTTATATATTACATATATATATATATCAATCATTGTAATCATTTGAATATACCTTTATGAAATAGAAAAATAGTTTCTGACGTCAATATTGTCATTAATTATTAAGTTTCCTTATTGATTAGGTTTGTTAATATCCGAAGTTTCTTTTTCTTTCAACAGAAAAGAAAGAGGAAAAAACATAGCGTTCAACACTTATTATAATAGGCGGTCTGTTTGGCAATCAAACTAATTAACTCGAATAAAAATCTATTTTTTTCTTTTTTCTTTTTAGTTCTATATTGCATTTCTATCCGCTATTTTACATACGCACATCCTGACTACTCATGTAATATTAGCTTGAAGTCTTTCATAATAGTAAAGTTTTTTTTCTTTCTTTCTGTCTTAGATAACTATGTCACTCTATTTTGTGTATATAGTTTTTTTTTCTTCTAAACACTCCGTTCGTGGGATGACACAGGAAAGCTAACCGTTGAATGACAAAAGCGGCGCATTTTTTCTTTATGTGTTCCTCCGCTTGCTTTGTGCACTTTGGTTCTGTGTTAGACGTTCCAAAATAATTCATCATAGTCGTTTTATTATTGGATGCTTCTTTCTTTTTTTTCTCTTTTAGAGACTATCAAATTGAAGAATAACGATCAATAAAATATTCGCTTGTGAAACGATCAGTTTTCATTCGTATTATTATTATTTGGTGAAAATTGCAAATTTTGTAACTATTATTCGAAAGTTTTGTTGTAATTGTTGATTCTAATCACAATGCCTTTGGCACAAAACTATAAAGATGATATATCTCTTTTGGAATCTAAAACAACTAAAAAAAACACAGCAATTGATCATATTAACACAGAACCTTTTGTACATCAAGGGATTCAAATACATTTGCATGTAAGTGTCTAAGAAAATATGTTTTTAGTTACGAAAGGAAAAACGTCATTTGGTTTTCTTTATGTTTCCACATGACTTTATTTTTTTTTCAAAATCTCATTACTTATTATAGAAAAAAGTCTATTATTCTATATAATATTTGCCTATATTGTTAGCACACAGCTTGTCTTTTCCTGCAAGACAGGTGTTCTAACACTTTCAAATTGAATATGTTTTCATAATAAAATATTTCATTCATTTGAAAAAAGGTGTTGACATGAAAGATGAGTCGAACTATTTCAGCTTCAAGTGCATGTCATTATAAAAAATTTATTAGGTACTTTATGACTTTGCAAAAAAAAAAACAAGAAGCAAAAAATTAGAAATAGGCTACACTACTTAAAAATATTGCTGTCTGGTGCATTAAAGCTTACGGAAAAATTTTTACAGTTGCTTTATTCAAGCTGTCATCAGTATGACAAACAGGTTTTTGAAAACTTGATTCTACATTCTGACGACGTCTAGAATTCTCTATCATTTAGTATATTCATATTTTGACTTGTAATGATTTGCTGCAAAAATAAAGAATAAGTCGAACATAATGATGGTACTCTCATCGGTAGGATTCACATAAATTTATGCTCGTTTTTTTTGTTTTACTGATTCCTCAGTGTGCATTTTTAACTTATAGCAAT